GATTATCCTCCTTCAGAGGCTTTCACAGAACTAATCTCTGCCATAATACATATATGAAACTTACTTAAAGAACAACCCACTGTGGTTATGCAAGAGATGACTCATAATGCTGGTATCGAATATTTAAAAATACTTTATTTTCTCTTGCATTGCTACCTTGATCCCTTTGTTACTCCTTTGTTGTTTTTTTTCTGCTCATATTCTCTCAACCTTTAGACTGCAAGCTTGTTTAGGCAGTGTTTGTCATGCACTTTGTGACTGTGCAGTGCCAAGCACAATGTGGTCTCAAGGAGTTTTCTATCTTAGATGTTTTTGAAAATAAACCAGGTAAACTAACATACCAGAGCATCCCACAGACTTGGGAAAAGTTTAGCTCTGACTGTGAGGGCTCTATTTGTTTGCAAACTAGGCTGAGCTCTGCGGCTGCCTTTTTGCATAACTTCAAAGATTTTCTGAGAATTCTCCATGAAAAGACCATCATTTCTCTAAAAATACCTATCCATTCTACTTTTTCTTAGCGAAACAACATAGAAGCAAACATTTAGGCTAATATAATGAAATGGGAGAGCAAATGTGTGGGTTTGCTTGGTGTGGGCGCTTATTTTGGTTTTGTTGTTTTGACTTTTCCCGATAAAGTACCTGGTACAGCTGTTTATCTGGTTCCTGAATGTCAAAATCTGTCTTCTGGAAACCTAAGAGCTGTTTACAAAAACTCTGCTTTCAGGCAGCTGTCAATTGGATTAGCGCCTTGCAAACCTGTTAATGGCGAGCTGGATGCTGCAATCAAGCTTGCCAAAGTCATGTTAAGGGTAAAGAGAAGACTGATTTCCTATATAATCTCCTTTTTAATCACATTGCCACCCTAAAGCTCCCAGCTGTTCTGAAATTTCAGTCCTGTGATTTGAACATCCCCCATGGCTGTAGATGCCATAGCAATCCCACACTAGCTCTAAAGAACAACAAAAACATTCTAATCAACATTCGATTTGGTTTTTAAATGCAAACATAGCAGAATATTTCAGTCCCTACTGTAGGAGCTGGTAGCCCTGCTTGGATAGTAATTGTCTATTTAAATGTAAATCTTGTGGCACTGCACTGCAAGATGTATGCCAAGAACCAGGCAGGACATCAGGACTAGACTTTGCCAGGTTGTGAAGCATCCCTGACCCATACACAAGGAATTAACAATTCCTGTTTGATAGTGCCTTAATGAAAGCATGGACTCTCCTTTTTCTTTTGCTAAAAGGTATTTCTACAGTTTGTCATACACTTCATATATAACTCACAAAAAATTAATTGAATTAAATTTGGTCTTTCTGTCTACCTTGAGATAATTAACATCCATATAATATTATATAGTATTCTCAGAGCATCGTTTTGTGTTTTCTTCAACATAATTCAAAATAATGGCATTGTTTAGACATCTGGAGAAAACTTCATAGGTAAGAAATTTTCATGTTCACTACCTGCCAAAACTGACCTCTGTCAAACTGAGGTTCCTTCTACTCATGGTGCATTTATGGGAGAACTTCTGACTTCTGACTTCTGACTTCTGACTCTAGTTTAGATTTTTCAAGTTGATCAGTTTAGGATGAAACGATAATCTGTTTTTCCCTGACATTATGTGCCAATGTCAGCAGTTTCACTTCATACTAAACTTTGACGTTTCACATTTTTCTGAATCAATTTTTAAAGATTTTAAGAGAAATTAACATTTTATGGAAATACTATTTTTCTTTACTGCAGTTCATAGCAAACAAGGAGTTGCACATCACAAGGACATAATATTCTGTCTCAAATCATGTCCTAGTGGGACATTCTTACTAGTGCCACAGGATAGGAACATAAGCAGTTAACAATATCTCTTTATAAATTTAGAATATTGAAGTGATTTGTTCCTCTTATTGGCACAGTGATGCCTGAGCTTCCATATTCAACATATAAATCAAATGAAGACATAAATGCATTTCTCCTTTTGGATTTAAAAGTCTCATTAGCATCAAGTGAATGAAAAGATGAAAAATATATCTCAGAGAAAACCCCACTTCTATAAATTAAGGATTTTATATATGTGTGCAGTCACATGTATTTCTTTATTCCTAGTAAAATCCCAACGCATGTTTGCTTACTGCTTCATGCCTTCATTTAATAAATAATAATGTGAAAAGTCTTTACTTGAAGGAACTTGGTTGATCTTTCTAAGAAGATAATTACTTGAGAATTTTCAGTAATCTGGAAAATTATCTGTTCTAATGATATCTAATTTCTAACTGGACTACCCTGTTGACTTCAGTCATAGTACTCAGATTGGTTTTACTCTTTAAGGGAAAAACACAATATAAAGGCCACAACTGAACTGGTGAGAGTAGTGATGGCTGTGTTAACCAAGTGAGAATTTATCACTCAAAATCTGTACTCGAGCTCCAACTGCACTCATGAAAGTTAAGCATGGGTACAGAAAACTAACAAGAAAAATAAGAGATCTAATGGCACTACAGATATTACCTAAATAGTTTCTACCTGCAAGTAAACAGAAATAATTAAAAAAACCCCTTTTACTTAAGGGACCCAGTCTCCTAAAGATGATACACTTCTGCAATACTAAAAGCATCAGACAATTATGGTCTTGAAGAAAAAGGAGCTCATAATATGATCACATATGATCACTTGCAGTGTGAAAGTATGAGTTTGCACTATAAGAATAGCTCATAAGTAAGTGGTAAGATAATTGGGAAATACTTGTCAAGCATGTTATTAAAACAGGAATTTATTTTTCAAATGAACTGTAAACCTGCCTGTAAACCTGCAAAGTAAGGAATAAAATAAAAAGAAGAATAAATAGATGGAGTAATTATTAACATGAATTATCTTACTTTTATTAGACAGTTTCCTGTGAAAGATGAGGAATTGAGGCCTGCAGTAACATATATTACATACAGATATTACTGCAGCTCTTCTGTATTGCAATGGAAGGAGATGGAGACATAAAGAGTTTCACAATTTCAGAAGCTCTTGGGAAAAGCTTTCTGCTGTTCTCCAGAATAACCCCAAAAAGCTTCAAAAACTTCAGTAACCCATGGAGGAAATGTAGTTTCCTTGGTTGTCATGAATGGACAATGCACATCCACTTGTGATTTTTTTTTTTTTTTGAATAATCAAGGTATTTCTATTATAGTTTCATCATAGTTTTTGTATAGGATTAATTTCTTTTTATCTTCATGTGATTGAATGCATTAGTAGCTCATATAAAAATACTCAGGAGTTTACACAATTAATTAAATGTAGCTGGATGTTCCTCCTTTTCCTGTATTATCCAGCTGTGAGTTTTTTCCATATTCAAAAAGCCAAGAAGCTTCCAGCTTTCCCTTTCCACAGAAAATTTACATGACATGTCTGTACCATGGGGAAAATAAATGTAATACTGAGTTTGATTCATGCAATTTGTCAATGCAATTAAAATAAATGGAATCACTCTGATTTTTTGGATGTGTGTTGGGACTGTGGCCAACACAAGACATGACAAGCACTGTAAATGATCTCTGTGGCTGGGAAGATGAAATTCAAATTTTAGCAATTCTAGCCTGACCCTAGAGGTCTTTTGCCCCCTTAGGGGAGATAGGAGTTATGTTACTGTGCTTCATGGCTTTTTTAATAGGCTAAGGACTGTTTAGGTATCATCCTTTGTGGATGAAGGACAGTAAAAGTGATGCTCTGCTGCTTGGTCAGTGTCAATTATTGTGTGCTCACCAGAGAAGTGCTGTAGGAAGCAAACACCTACGCTGTCATATGATCTCCTGTTAATGGCTGCTCTGTTTGTTTTACTCTTACTTAAAGGAAGTGTTGGTTTATGGCACCATTCCTCATGGCAGCAGTGGCACCAAGGAGCTGCAGTGCTGGTGGGGAAGGGTTTGGATGTGTGCTTTCTCCAAGGAGGATTGAGTGTTGAGGGACTGTGGAGTATCCTGGGGGCTGGGACTCTGGGGAGCTCATCACAGTCTCAGCTTTCATTAGTGCTGTGATCACATCACTGGTTTTGTCCACAGGCCACTGGTATGTCAATCATAACTGGATTTAAACGCTGCACTAAACTTCTGTCTGCTTGTTGATGCTCATCTTTTCCCACTATTTCCATTGGCAGCTTTGTCAGAAGTTGTGGCAAAGGGGAGTTTTAAAGAACAGCAAAATTTGACAGGCTTTGGGGAGGTTACAGGGCCTCTGTATAATTTTTTAACAGAAATTACTGAAAATTTTAACATTTTAAAAATTTAAAGCTGAGCATTTTATGCTCATAAATTAAAAGAATGCAATACAGAAATTTTAAAAATGCAATAAACTTTGAGTGTATTTTGTTTTGACTTCTGCTCCTATTGCTCTAGCTCAGGGAGCATTTTAGTTTTGAACAATGACCATAACTTAGCAGATGTATCTGAACTCTGAAAAGCAAAATATTTCTTGGAGAATAATTTTCTTTATGTCCGTTCAAACACAGTTTATTAAATTCTATGCTGTAACTATTATGGGTTTCAGGAAAGAAAAAATTAAAACATAAGTAAAGTTAAAAGTAGCTGTATTTAGAACTGTGAGTTTAGTGACAAGTATTTTTGCTCTAATAACGGTGAAATGTCGGCTGCTGCATCACTTGTGATGGGCAATTTCATTGTTATACAGACACAAATCATGGCAGCATGTGATCATTCCTGGGATATGCTGACATACTGCAGCATGTGCATGACCACTGTTTTCAGCTGTAGTCTCTATTTGCAGTTTTTCTTGTAAATCTGAATTTATGTCAAAGGCGGGCACTGCAGTCAGGTATGGTTATTTCTTTCACCTAGATTGTTGCATGCCCATCAGTAAAATATAAACGTTCTAAGAAAACCTGTGTTAGCATGTCATTCCCATGTCACTTTATTACAGGGTAGAGGGTCATTCTGAAAAGCAGAATAGTGAAATTTAAGGTTTTGTTTGGCTTTTGTCATATTAGGATCTAATATTTATGTGTTATGTGGTATGTTGCAGTTATTCTTTGCTCCTTTTCTCTGCTAATGTAAAAAAAATATATACACCGTAACTAGGGAGTTAAATTCCCACTCAACAGGCATATTTTTGGTTTCTGTAAGGGAGCTGTGAGTGGAGCTCAGTGCTTTGCAGTGGAGGGCAGCACTCCGCGACAGAAGCAAGCATCCAAGGGAAACGTGGCTGGCAGCAGACATCCATGACGGGAACGAGACCCTGTACCAGCTCTTCCAGTTTCACAGGGACCTCGCGTTTTCCAGCTGTTTACCCTTGAGATGTAAAATGGCAATTTGGCATAGGCTAGCAGCCTGGTGTGATGTGAGCATCTGCGTAAAAGGCTGCACATATGGAGCATGCCCAGTGGTATGAACAGCCTGTTACCCCACCCCCAGCCAATCTAGGAAGAGATGAAATGAACTTTGCACTTGCAAATGTCACTGAATACATTTTGCACAGGATTTTAAAAGGTTCTTTTACAAGCACTATTTTTAACAGCCAAATCCGCCCCCCCAAAACAGAAAGGAAAAAGCCCTAGGTATTTTTCTGTGATCGATCTCAGTTTATGATCAGCTGAAGTATCTCTCACAATATTTCCGAAGCTGGTTTTATTTTATGTTTTTATCACTGAAGTTGAGATTTTTTTTTTTTTTTGGAGGTGGTGTGGATTTTTGGGAGTTTTTTTGAATTTTTTTTTTTTTCTTTTTTTCCTACTGGCATGAGAAAATTTGAGAATTTAATTGCAGTAGAATACTTGGAAACAGTGAGGCTGGAAGCTTGAAAGGCAGAGGGAAGAGAAGGAAGGCTCTCACAGCAGAGCATGGATAGGAAAGGAGCTGTGATTCTGCAGTGCTCAGTGTGCACATGTTTTATGAGATCAGTGCCGGGCGCTGCAGCTGCGGACAGTAACTGAGCTGTCTGGCTAATGAAGGCCACCTGGATCAGGCTTCTGAAAAGAGCCAAAGGAGGACGTCTGAAGAATTCTGATATCTGTGTAAGCCCTGCATTTTCCTTATCACCTTATATTGTGTGTATTTCAGGGAGAGAGAGAGGAAAGGCGGAGAGGAGAGCACAGTTGTTTTCATTCTGATTGAATTACCAGAACTCTTATTTTGTATGCAGGGAGATGCAGAGGGAAAGCAGAGCTGTCATTATTTATAGAGCTTTTCTGGCATTGTGGCTGCTTCCATTGTGGTGATACAGGGACATGTGTTGAGTCCAGACGGATTTTATTAGTTGGAAGTTGATTTGTGGTCATTTGCATGTTTTGCTGAGGGGCAGAGATGGATACGAGCCATTTGCTGTTCTGATGGGGAAAGTGTGTCAGGTAAAGAGGCTGCCCTAAAATAAAAATGCATAGCAGAGGTTAAATCTCTTAGCAGTGATATTGTGTAATGGTAATTATTGGTACTAAATTTGCATTTTGATTATAGAAAGTCTGTTTGCTTGCTATTTCTGTCACTGTTTAGAGTTCTAATTTTTATGGAGCCATCCTTGAAGCTGCTGTGTGTCCTTCAGCCCTGCACTGCACCAGTGCTGTAAGTCTCCAGAGAAACTGGCTCTGCTTGCTGAAAAGCACACAAATAAGAATGCCGAGATAGGGCAGAAAGTTAAACACTGGAGAAGACACCTGCACTTTTTGAAAGTTTCCAGAAGAAAATGTTTACCTGGACATAATTCCTTCTAAGTGAATTTCCCTTTTGGGCAGTTAGTCTCTTTTCAGGGATACAGAAGTAAGAGAAAAGGCAAAGTGTATAACCACTTCTACTTTTATTTTTTTTTAAACATCCAAGGAACTTGTGGCATTATTTTTCCTTTTCTTTTGCAGGGTTCGGCGGACTCCTACACCAGCCGTCCATCTGATTCAGATGTATCTCTGGAAGAAGACAGGGAAGCAGTGCGGAGAGAGGCAGAGCGACAGGCCCAGGCACAGCTGGAAAAAGCCAAGGTAAGGTGTTGTTTCATGTTACAAACTCATAAAATGCTCAGCTTTAAAGCAGGGATTGAAACTAGATGATTTTTAAGATGCATTCTAACCCAAACCATTCCATGATTCTTTGTCATCTCGTCCATTAGTTATTCAATGTTTTTAATGTGTTAACATATAGATTAGATCTCTTATAAACATTCCAGACAGCAGTTGAAAATACATGCTCCATGAAAAATTACTTAGAATCAGTTTTCTGTAACAGGCACTTGATTGACTTATGTATTTCAGAGCATTCTTATTTAAATGTGTGAATTTAAATTTAAATTCTTTTATTAAATATAAGCAGTTGTAGCAGTGTATAGGGTCAATCCTATGAGTTCTTACTGAAGATGTTTCTGAAAGTTTGCTGATGGATTGCCAGGGCACTTAATGCTTTTAAAGTGTCAAAAATCAGCCCTTAAACATCCTGTTTATCTCCGTTCAAAGAAGGATCAGTCCCTACAAGTCATATGTAAATAGGGAGAATCTGTTACAAGGGTGTTTTTTTCCTAAGGACTTCACTGACTTTCTTTACAGTTTGTGTGTTAAGTGACCCCATGAGTCATTTGCTGTAGGTCTTCTTCAGATTTCTCCTCTCTCCGTATTCCTGGCAGATAGTGACAATGTAGTAAGAAAACATTAAAGGAGCTTTAGGTTTTTGCTGTGTGTTTATGTATTTTCCATGAGATTTATTTAGGACTGTGAAGGTTTTAGCAGTGAAAGTGATGGGCTTGTTTCTCTTTCATCTATGTTACATCTTTAAATAATACTGCACCTGTAAAAACTGTACTCATTTATTATCAGTCATTTATCATTTCATTCCAGTTTTTCTTTTTTGTATGCTACCTGCCAGGTTTAAATTTATTACTGTTTTACAAAATCTGTTTTTTGTTCTAATATGTTTAAATACACCATTGAGATTCCTCCTTAGATCTACCTGATCTACATTTTTCCCTCACTTTCTCTCTGAGTCCCCTCCTCCATTTTGCCTTGTTTTTTAAAATTCTTTATCTCCTTTCCTTCTCCTATTCCATTTAATTCTCCACTGCCAGCTGTACCTCTGGCCATTTATGCCACCTGTTTTACAAGGGCTCTTTGGAAATCTGTGAGCCCAGATCACTGAGCTCTGCAGCTGATCGTGTGGCGAGCACCAGCTCTGTAAATAATACAGTACTACAGTGCACAAGCAGACATCTTCGTCAGGGCAGAAAACCTGAACAGGGAAGCCAGAAATGTTTTTTTTTTAAATGTAATTGTTGACTGATATTTAATAAGAGCTCCTACAGCAGCTTTAATGAGCTGCTGGAATGTGCCAAGCGTAGGAGATACTGAACATCTCTTTGAAGTTGGATCTTGCTGTTCTGGGATCAGTGTAGCAGAAGCTCAAGAGAAGCAGCTCACTTCTTCCCTTCAGCCTTTTATCTCAGAGATTGCTGATTGTAGTCAGGAGTTTCAGTTTTATCAGGGGTGAGTTTTGTTAGTTTGAGGTTTTTTTGCTCCTGGGAAAAATGATAAGGGCTGCCCTGAAATTCAGGTGAAGTTTTGAATTTTATCAGTAAACTCACAATCTTTAAAGGAAGAGTTGAAGTAATAGTATCTTGCAGGCTAATCAGGGTAGCAGTGCAGTGCTTACTGCTGAACTGATGCATCCCTTAGCAATGAGTAAATCTATGAGAGTGTTGCTATGGGAATTTGGCTTACTGATGCTGGCTTGAATACATGGACAGCCCTTATGTAATATTCATGACCTCTAGCACAGCTGCCATTGTAGTTTGTAGAGAAACTGCTAGCAGACCTTGACTTCTAAAAGCTGTATTTCTATACATAAAAGCAATGTTCCCACTCCAGCTGGCATGAGATATAGTCTCTAGGTCTGACACCGTATGAAACTGTAAGACAACTTGTGAACAGTCAAAGTAGTAAAGGCACTGCCAAAACCAACCTGCTGTAACAATGGTTATTCCAGTCACAGAAAACACAAAATTAGTTGTTTAAATATTTTTTCCTTTAAAATAGATTAAGGCTGGAATTAGATTAGTATTTTTGTTTCTCTAGTCAAATATTAAAAGGCATTCCAAGATGTAATGTATGGAAATAATTTTACGTAGAGGCTGTAATAGTCTAATATTTAGTCCAGTGCAATATTTAAATTAATACTATTAAATAAATATTATGTACAATCGGTGTTTTTGTTTGAAATAAGTGGTTAAAAATGTGTTTAAATTAAGCCTAACTCGGTAGCTGTAAAATATGACAGGGTGTGGTTTTTTGCCTTTATTGATGGCTCAGTCCTTCACCTCCCTGAAACACAGTAAAATTAATGAAGCAGTAGCTGCTGGTGGTGCCTCTGGCTGCTGTCAATCCCCAGACCTGTTTGCCACAGGCTGCAGGTTTGCTGCCTGCTCCCCACGGCTGCCTCGCCTTTGCCCTGACCGACTTCCAGGCAGAGCCAAGTGACAGAGCTGCTTTAACTTTTGCCTTTTCTCATCGTGAGAGGAAGTGTTGATCCTTAAAAAATCATTACAAATGTATTTGTCACAGGAATCAGAAGAGGGTGACACACATGAATAATGCAGTGGTGGAGGAAAGATGATAGTGAATTAAAGGTAGATAAAAAACTATTGAACTGTGTCACGCAGTTAATGAAAACAGTTAAATGACATCCATTTTCCTTTATTACAGCTAGGGAAAACACCTTAAACTGAAGATAAAAATGTAGTGATAGAGAACACAATGCCGAATTGTTAGGACAATTTTAAGATTTTTAAATTTGGATTTTTATAGCATCTAAGTGCTGTGTGACATGGAGTCAGAATGTATCTCTGATACCTATCCGAACAGGGAAAATAAAAGCAAAAAAACTTGTGAGGAAAGGTGCATTCTGGCCACTTTTATTTATTTATTTATCTATTTATTTAATACAAGAATTGCTTCTCTGGAAAGTGGTTAAGCATATTTTGCTGACTCACTTTGGCATGTGACTTACTGTAAGGAAGGTGAGGCCAGGGGCGCATGTTCGGAGTCATCCAGGGACAGAAAATTAAGAGGCAGCTGATGAGGCTACCTGCAGGCCAGCATCTACTCTTGAGGGAAACAGATCTGAAATTAAGCTGTTAAGCTCGAACCTGAGATGAAATGTTCTTGATTAAAATAGTTTAGAAATAAAAATGCAAAAAGGCTGGTATTTTTTTCTTTTGGTTGGTTGGTTTTATATAGGAAAAAAAAATTCAAAGCATTGAGGATTTCCTCAGTGTTCTCCTCACAGACCATAACATGTGCTAAGTTTAGGATAGAGAGGACTGGTGTTGTGGCCTGGTAGGGTATGCTAATAATATCCAAATCTAAGGGCTTCTGATGGTATTTTGCTGAGTTTCTTACTTCCACAAAAACGTGAATCTGCAGCATTAACAAGCCAAAAAAATAATGACATTGTATTTTATACTAATAATTTAAAAATTGTCATTTCTACAGTCCAAAAAGCTTTTTAGTTGTTGAAGGATGATGATTCAAAATAAATTATAGTAAGTAAAGTGGGTTTTTTTGTCCATTCCTTGTAAGTATTCAATTAAATATTCCTTAAAATATTGCACCAAGTGAGAGGAATGAGATCAAAGGAAAACTGAAGTAGTAATAAGAACTTTCAATCCAGTACTAATTAAGCTAAAGGTTGTACTTCAGAAAGAGGACTTCAGGAATTTTTGGCCTTCTCCAGTGCTGCTAAAATCAATTTAAATATTCCATTGATTTGTTTTGCCACAAGTACTTCATATGTTTTGAATCTAGTTTTTAACTGAGGTATAATTAGTCAGATGTTCTGTAAACCTTTCTTCTCTTCTGCAAAAGTAGCTTCTTTCTTTTTTTCAGTCTCTTCAGATTTTTATATTTTGCCTTTTTTTCTTCCCATGACTTTAGAGCTCCTTATTCAGAAACAGTTTCAACAGAGATCTGTAGAATATTTTCAGCATTTTAGATTTTTTTTTTTCAGTTATTTCCAGTACATTGGGTACTGAAAGTGCTAGTTAATAATTCAGGTTCTGTTTCTCACATGGGACAGCTCTTTGTTCTCTGTTAAGGATTGTTCTCAACATCCTGTGGTCCTAAAACTTCTTAAATGACTGTCAAAATGAGACCATGGCCTTTGAGAAGTAATTGTGCTCATAACAGGAAGTCTCATTTTCCCTCGACTCTGTTTTGTCTGCATTCCACCTAATGCTCCACTGCTAGCATCCTTTTAGGAGTTTGTAAAAATTTGAAATATATGTAGTTCTAGTTTTAAATGTTGTTGAAATAATTTTTATGTTTAGATGGTGAACCACTGAAATTTTTATACTAAATGACCCTTTTCTGGGTCTGAGGCAATGATATGAGCTGTCACATTTTGCTTTTTTTGATGTGTGCTGTAGTAGTGGTGATGGCTTGTGACTGTGAGTAATAATGCAATGTCTTAAATGTAACGCATTGCCTCCATGCATGGTTTGGGACCACAGCTTTGAAATGTGTAGCAGGCTGGGATAATGCCTACATAGCTCTGTGAGGCTGAGGGCATGAAAAAGATTGTCAGATGTAATTATCCAGTGCAGTGTGCCGAGACTAGTTATTTGAGTATTTATTCACTCTCAGACAGGTTTCACAGCCTCAGAATGACCCTATGCTGCTAGCAGGCAGCTGCAAAGCTAGTTGAGGTATGTCTACTGAAGCTGCAGTAGCATTTTTGACAGGCCAGAAGTGCCCATCTCCTTGATGTGCATCCTTATATTATGTCAGCTTGTCCCCTCATGGACATTCTTTCTGTTTTCTCTCAATTATCAGAACGTCATGGTGCTGAACAGCAAACAAAGCTATAGCAACACAGGATAGTACTGTGAGCTGTTGTGTGTGGTAATATATTTTTCATTGATTTCTTCTCATTTGCCCTTTTGTTTCAGAATATTTTTATTGCATGTAATCATTTAGATCACTAATGTTGTGTCTTGTAGTTG